ATCCCTCACTAGACTGAGTTATAATCGAAAAAATTCGTTGCAGTATTCACATCATCGAAATATCGCCACTTACTACGGGGCTTTCATCAAGAAATTGCCTTCATCGACCGGAAAGCTGGACCAGTTGTGGTTGGTGATGGAATTCTGTGGCAGCGGCTCGGTCACTGATCTTGTCAAAAGCACCAAGAGCAATTCTCTGAAGGAAGATTGGATCGCTTACATATGTCGCGAAATTCTTCGGGTAATTTTGCCATTCCCGAATTTGCCCTTTTTTTGTTTTTTACAAAAATTATACTACTCACTCCCCGATTGCCATTTCTGTGGCCGTTTAGTCAAAACCTTGGTAAAAAATTACTGGGGACGACTGGTAGGCTTGAGAACTGTGGTGCTTATAAATCACATAAAGTTGCCGCTTGTGCCCGCTTTTACCATTTTTAGCTAGTTTTGGGCCGATCTCAACTGAATTTGCTAAAATTTTTATTTCTTGCTTGAATTAGCGATGTAGCCTCACTTTAACACCACTTATTGTCTTGATTGAAGGACCAGGTAAGCTAGGGAGCTGAAATTTCAAGGAGGTATTCCCTATGCAATTTAAGGATTTCAAATGCAGTCTCTAAGTACACTTGTTTCCTGATGTGCGGGCACATGAAAATTTTGGCAGAAAAATTTAGGTAAGTTAAGGGGTAAAATGATAAGAAAAGTTTAGGTAATTTAGGAAGGGGCTGAAATTATCCGTTTGCGACCTAAAGATTTCGAATTGATTCCCTAATTACATCTGTTTTTCACATACGGATGCATGGGATTCTGGTTGGAAAATTGCTAACTCGGGAACCAGAACAGCGAAATCATTTTTAATGAACAACGGGTTACCAGCAGTTATTTATTTTTCTTCATGCAGAATTTACGGTACGAAAATAAGTGCACGCCATCCGCAGTGCCAACGGCTTGGTTGCTTCAAGTTTAGCGCAAAAACGCATGATCGTACGGCAGGTTTGATGCCAGGGTTTAAAAAAATATCATGTTTCTACCAGCTTGCTCCGATATGAGGCACCAATGCGTATGGTGTAGGCACAGTGGCCTCATCCATGGCTGCAGAAAGGCGATGCAGGTGTCATGCAGCATCGAAGCTAATACATGGCAAGCGGACTGGGCGGGAGGAATTTCCCAGAAAGTGCGAGACTGGAAAAGTTCTTCATCTGCTGGTGTAAGTTGTCCATGGATTTTTAATATTTTAGCATTTGTTGATTGCAGGGACTGTATCACTTGCATCAAAATAAAGTCATTCATCGTGATATCAAAGGTCAAAATGTTCTACTTACGGATAGCGGTGAAGTGAAACTGGTCGATTTCGGTGTAAGTGCTCAGTTGGATAGGACCGTTGGACGTAGGAATACATTCATTGGAACTCCCTACTGGTGAGCACTTTTATTTGTAAATTAATGTGCTGCTCTTCACTGCTTGCACTGTGTATTTTTATGTGATTTTCATTGGTTTTTGTTCATCAGCAGTGTTTTTCATTATTATTCACATTTATTCTATTTTTCTTGCATTCCCGTAAATCCAAAAACACCATCTCGATGAAGATCTTGAAAGCTTGGACGGTGTAGGATTCCTTT